GTTTATGACTGAAGTATGAGGGGACTCTTGCTTTAAATGGAAACGGCTATTATGGATTAAACTGCCAGATTCAGAAAAAACAGTCATTCATTCAAACATTCAACAACATTCAAGACACTCAAGAACCTCACTAGTAGTCGAAGATTGTTAAGGTTTATTGCACTTCAAATATGTTGATGAAAACCTTAGAACGAAAATTAGAGAACAAAGAACACTCGACCCGTGCCCATATTCTCGACTCCACGATTCCTCCTGCCTTACCGTATGCGTCAGCAGCCTGGTTGCCACATAAGCAAGAGGAGAGACCACTCCGTGTTATTGAACGCGCAGTCGAAACGTCGATACTGATAATCTCCCGGATCATGCAGGTGAGGAAATGGATCTGAAGCTCAAATTTGCGCGAACGATCGGAAATCAAAGACGCCGTTCCACACGCCAAATGTCGAAGATAACATTGGTCGGAAACGTAACGCACAGGAACGACAACCGATGGACAAGAGCCTGGAAGAAAGGTTTGCTGCTCAACGAATCTCAAGAGCGAACAAAAACATCTGGCCTACCTTTTTACGCTGTGGGCAAAAATGGAAGATTGATTTGAGCTCGATCGAGTCGTTCTATGATCAATAGATTGGCAGACGACAGGGGTAAATTTTCTGTGACTAGGAGTCGAAATCCTTCGGCATTGATAACGTTCTGAAGCATTCATATTAGGTTTTTTAGTAATGGAATGCCGGAGAATGTCATGGTTAATTTTTCAAACCCCCAAATTTCGCGAACTTCTACGGCCCTCTACTGGGTGCAAATACGGACTTTCTTCGCCCTATTCATGACGACCATTTTAAATTGAGTGTCTTACGACTAACGCATTCACAATAAAAGCGTTATGCTTCGCCGTGGCTTTTACATAAGAAAGCGCTACTCGATAATAGATTGTGAAGTACTAAAGAAGGAGAACAAAAACATGAAGTAATATTTCGAAAAACATGAAGTGTGCAAAAAGTGCCACTCGATGTTTCTTCTTATGAAAGTGGATGAAGGAGTAACCTTGTGGTTTCTGCTTCGCCGAGACAGCCGTTTTGAATGCTTAAAATGTTCTGAGAAGGTTCAAACACTTGCACGCACCTCAACCGAAAGCGTTGTAACTATTGTGCTTTTCTCCATCGGCTTAGGTTCTCCAGCCAAGTGAAGTATCTCGCTAAACATTGCGTTTGTGAAACAGCTGCAAAATCAGCACTGATTTACTCATTTCTCCAAACTTTCGTAGAATGACCACCAGGAAGGTTTGAAATCTTGCCTTCTTGTAATAGGCCGTAAATTCGATCTATTCAGTATTTCAAGTTTTTGAAGTACTATAAATTTTAACCTAAAATGGGATTTGATAGCAATTTCAGCTGGCATAACAGAAAAGAAACTGCTCGGAAGTTGGTTCGGTATTGGGTTTTGGAAGACTGTTTACTGATATCAGCACATCAAGAAAGACGAAAGTAGTAATGGAAAGTCTTTTTTTCACTATGCGAATTGCACTACTGTTGCAATCGAAGTAGTGTGCGAAGCTTAAGGGTTCACTCATTTCCAATGTATTAGCGAGTTTCAAACTTTGGGAACGAAAATCCTTTGTTTCAATGGATTGAATGGAGAGAAAACTCCTTTGTTTCTGTTTCGCTGATGACAAATCGAAAGCACCGACAGCGCCATCAGCTCTATGTCGAAAATTTTATGAACGATTCATAAAGCTGAATAAGCAGTTTCGTGTCATTTCAATTGAATCGATGAGAAACGAATTCCACCACTGGATTTTTATTGCGCTTTGAATACGAGAGTGTACGCACTCGGATAATCTAAGCCAAAGGAGAGAAAACATCACATTTGCCATGCACACAGTTGAGGATAGTGTGAGGGCTTGAAATCTCTCTAGAAGTATTTTAGAATACGAACAATCGCATCAAAAACTGTGCAGATTTCCACGGTGGTTCCTTTTCACAACAACAACCTTCACAGACTATTTCCACTGTTCCGGCTTTGTGCTCTCCTTGAAATACTTCGTGTTTTTTCTATTCGACTTGCTTTTCACTTAAAGCATCAACAGTGAATGAGGCTTTTATAACGGATGCTTCATTCAGAACAACCAAAAATAAAAATGGCCTACTTTAGTCGACCGATATAAGCGTGTGTTGACTCCCACTACAGATCCGTAGTACTTTCTTAAGGTTGGAGATTTGTGAATGTAACCATTGCATTTGTCTGCACTTCGTTACCACACAATCTGACATGGACGCCCTAAGGCAATCTTCGAAGTATGTGTCACGATCCTCGCACGCGAATCAAGAACACAGGCGCGAAAACTCTCGAGGCATTCTGGATTAATTCCAGAAATCCGAAAATGAACCGCAGGGAAGAATGCCTCATTATCACGCGTGATATAGGGCTGTATATAAGACTGCTATTCTGATGGAAGGGGCACATTATACTTCCATGTGATTTCTGTGCAGTTGGTCCCTACGTGACATACTTAGTGGAAACCTCATAGAAAGCGGTGAGTGTGCAAAGCTGTGTTCAACGTGATTGAAATCTTGGTTTGGAGTTTCTTTGTTTGGTTATCGAGGCGTCTGGCCGAGTGGATTGCTATCAACTTGACCTTTCCAGGCCCTGAGGAAGGCGAAATCCGCCGAAACGTCAGCTTATTCGTGAATAAAGAATAATAACACCTCGCGTTTGCTCAACAAAAATATGAAGAATTACTTTATCAACATAATACTTCATTCCAAAATAACAAGCAGCGATTGAATGGTAATGTTCCTTGTTCGAGGCAGTTTTTTCAACTATGCGAATAGATTTCGAAACCGACTTTCCTTGAACCTCGGTATTAACAACTTGTTGTAACAACTTGATAACAACTCGTTTTTCTTCTGGACATAAATCATCGCGCACATCGTGCAGAAGTCGTTGTTATTATCAGGTAGCACAAAGCGTAGTTTTATTTCGACGAAATAACACGAATAACAAGCGAGGACCATCGACTCGGATCATCGGCTCTGAGGAAGACGAAGACGTCGAAACGTTAGCCGGAAATAAATATCATTATCAACCTCGTGTAAGCTCATCAAAGAAAGAATACATATTGATTAGTGATACCGAGGTTCAAGAAAAGAGGGTTTCGAATTATAACTACGCTTTGTGCTAGCTGATAATAACACCGACTTCTTCACGATGTGCGCGATGATGTATGTCCGGAAAAAAACAAGTTGTTATCACCGGACATTATCATTATGTCCAACATTAGCATCGTGTATAAAAGGGCATCACTGAGTAAGGATGCCTCATTAGAGGAGATGGCTCACTGAAGAAGACCTGACTCGACACGAAAAACTGTTCAAACCAAGTGTAGGTCCAGTAACATTTTTGTAGACTAAGTGCTCTCAACCTTCCTGCGTTCCTAGCTAGAATATTTAAATTGGAATGTGTCTGTATATGTGATAACAATTCGTTTCTCAGAATTCTATTCGCATATGTATTCTTTCTTTGATGAGCTTACACGAGGTTGATAATGATGTCATTTTCGGCTAACGTTTCGACGTCTTCGTCTTCCTCAGAGCCGATGATCCGAGTCGATGGTCCTCGCTTGTTATTCGCCTCGACGTGGCAGCTTCGCCTTCGTGTCGAGTTAGGTCTTCTTCAGTGAGCCATCTCTCATCTCAGTTTTTAATGAGTTATGTAGAAGCTGTCAAACGAGAACTTCATAAACCCTTGTCACCAACGGTTTGTGTGCAGCCTATGACCAAAGATTCTCTATAAATCGATCAGTCTTGCTCAACCCGGTCAAGTATGGTCTTGCGTCCTCATCGGATTTGCCTGAATAAGGTACGATTTAAGAAGTAAGTTCAGGGTACTACTTGGAATAAATGAGCGATACATTCTTTGCTTTTTGATGACGTCACTTTATACCACTTATAAGCGTGTCACCTTCGAAAACATACCCATTCCTTCTTTGATAAGCATTGCCGTGGAAGCATTGCTAAACATCGTTCGACATGCCTTTGGCTTGGTCGCAGACAAAAAATACGAGATGGGCTATCGCAATTGAAATTCGCCAAAAATTCAGAAACCATGAACGTCTTAAAAAGTGAAATCTATAGCAATCATAATATCTTGCGTTCTCAACGACTGAAAACATCTTTTGTCACATGTTAAGTTTTTTGCCTCAAACCATTTTGGAGATATTTTGGTCGCTCATCTTCTTCACAACTCTTGCATAAAGTCACTTCACGTACATGTGACTTCATTACATCAATAAAACTGATAGAAAAACTGTTTCATGCATTCGTGATGAATCGGCTCTTTCAAAAGCCTCCATTACATTTTTAATATATCGGCTGCGGGAGCCGCGAGCGTATGCAACCGCGGTTAATCTGGATTGTTGATCCTGGACCGCAATAGACTGTACCTAACTGCCTGAAACATCAAACGTCATTAGCTTCGTTGTTTCGCAAGGAAGTAGTAAACTGTTCCGCTGTTACGCCTCCTTCGAATAAGCTATCGTCGGTATGCTACTGAAGTCAAACCTGAATTGCTATTCTGCCTGAAACATTGAACATAATTGATCGAGAAGATTAGAAAAGGTTACATTGCGGTGTTTGATGTGCGAGTGCGAGGAGGCCATATTTGGACTTCAAATACTATTATTTAGATAGATAGATAGATAGATAGATAGATAGATAGATAGATAGATAGATAGATAGAGAACTTTTCAAGGGAGAAGTTCTCTATACCAGATGCTCATTTGGAATAGTTTTTTCAGATGAAAGCTACGTGTAGTTTAGATTCCGCAATAGTTATTGAAGTCATTCTGTGTCCTTCCTCTTTCCTTAAAATGCTCTTGTGCTGATGTTCTTCTTGTCTTTACTTGGAAATGCGAGGTGGCCATGGGAATTCAATATAGGCCCATAATCTGCTCAATCTTCAGATAGTCGGGAAAGTATTACGCTCGAATAAGAAGGTTGGCAATGGGACAACGACTGGCTCCAAGCCTTGCCAGTGCATTCATGTCTAAGGTGGAAGCACCGGTGACTGATCTCGGGCCGCTACTCTACTGTAGGTATGTAGACGACTGCTTTGCCCTTTTGCTCAACACAAGAGGAAATGGACAAATGCTTCGAATAGTTAAACGCACAGTCAGAGTATATCAAGTTCACCCGAGAAAAGCCGAAAGAAAAATGGCTTCCATTCCTGAACGTACAAATTCACCTGTCAGAAAATGGCTACTTTACAAAGTGGTACCGAAAGCCAAGTAGTAAAAACATCTTGGTTCATTACCTCTCCTCTCACCCTTCTCACACGAAAAGGGCGCTTATAAGAAACATGTTTCGAACAGCAACCAACGTGTGCACGGGAAGAGAGCAGAGAGAGGAGTCCCGGAACTTGGCGCGGCAAATAGCCAGCGGGTTCTTTGTGTATGAATAATGGCAAGAGAGGAAATGAACGAGGATGTTCTTGTTTCTTGCTTTTCGGTATCATTTTGTCATGTAACCGTTATCTGATAAGTTGGTTTGAACGCTAAGAAATGGAAGCTTTTTTCTTTTGGTTTCTCTCGGATGAATTTGATCAACTCAGACTACACATTCGACAATTCAACGCATTCCACCTCAGCAGAAAAAACGACAAAACAGTTATCTAAATAGTTACAGTAGGGTACCGGCCGAGGATCAAAAAGGCGGCTTCTATTTTAGACATACATGCAATGGCGAGACTTTGTGTCAGTCGCTGTCCTATTGCGAGTTCTCTCATTTGTGCATAGTATTTCTAGACCATTTGAAAATCGATCAGTTCAGGTACTTTTTTATGTGGGCCATGAGCTGATCAGTAGACAAGCCATTCATATTTATTTCTCCTTCATGTTCAACAAGAAATTCGAGGATGACTTTCAATGCGGAGTCATTCGACACTTTGGTGAGCCGCGCGGAAACGTCGAAGGAGGACTCCATCACGCAAGAGTTGTTAGTGGACGCCTTACATAGACGCTCTAGGAACATTTGCGTGTGCGTGATGTTAGCTGGTATATAGTTAAGCAGCTTGCTAAGTGTTTGGCTTCGAAACCAGAGTATACCATCCGTTGGCCCGTCTACACCTGACGTTGGTTCTAACCTTAAATGATGACGGATTGGTTGATGCAGAATTAACAGGTGATACCATCAGTTACCATCAGGTGTTTGCTCAATGAATATCGAGAATTAATAACAGCAGCAAAAGATCCAAGGTAAATCAACTCTTGAAATAGCGGCGCCAGTCCTCTGTTTTTGTACGAAAATAAGTGAACAATTGCTTTTGGTCCGCGCTAATCCTCTTCTCTCTACCTCAGAAGGCGTCATACACAAGGCCATCCAGGTGTTTGGCCAAAAGAAATCTCGCTGCAATTACAGAAATTGCTCACTACAGGAAAGGAATTTAGTCGAAAATAACGAACACTCTTCCAACATGTATTCTTTCTTGATAAGCTTGCACGAGGTTGGTAAATATATTTATTTTCGGCTAACGTTTCGACGTCTTCGTCTTCCTCAGAGCCGATGATCCGAGTCGATGGTCCATGCTTGTTGTTCGCCTCGACGTTGCGTCTTCGCCTTCGTGTCGAGCCAGATCTTTATTTTTATTTTCGAAAGAAAAAAAAGAATACATATTGATTAGTCACACCGAGGTTTAGGGAAGGTCGGTTTCGAAATATTACTCTTCCAACAGTCAACAATCAGTGTTGTTTTGTAATTATGGGCTCGTTGTCCCATTGCCGACCCTCTTATTTGAGTGTAGTACTTTCCGGACTATCTGAAGATTGAGCATATTATGGGCCTATATTGAATTCCCACGGCTACCTCGCATTTCCAGGAAAGGACAAGATGAACATCAACACAACAGCATTCTAAGGAGAGAAGAAGAACAAAGAATGACTTCAATAACTATTACGGAATTTAAACCACATTTAGCCTTTATTTGAATTGTTGTTCCAAATAAGCAGCTGAATCCAATAATCCACGAATTAATGTGAGTCGCTTCCTTTAGGGAACTTGGACGACATACTAGGAAATTGAAGGCACTTGCTTTTTTCTTAAGCACTGCATTCCTCAACAGGTATACTGTTTAGCAAAGAAAACCAAGAATTATTTTTTCAATAAGTTCTAGAGCAGGTCAGCGAACAGCTGAAGAATTAATGTGATACTGGAACAAAAAGCCAGGAAATGGCTTTGAAGAGAGGAGATTGTGAAAAAAGGCTGCTGATTTCATTATTCATGATTAGTGGTAGTGATAGTTTCTTGCAGAAAGGAGAAAAAGCCGCTGATTTGAAAAAACGAAGTCGCAGAATGATAATAACTGGAACTTATTCAATTCACTAATTGGCTGTTTGGTAGATGCCGTCGTCGATAACATCGACGATGAATACGATCGGCTCATTCAACATCTTCACGTCAGCGCTATGAAAGCCGAGAGTTAGAAAATCACCCAGAGAGAAGCAGTCTTAGAAGCTCTTGATAGTCAAGGAGTCCCTACTCAGTACATAAAGTTTCAATGTGAGTTGTGCAGAATTTTCATGATCTTTTTAAAAAAAAAGCTTTTAAGAGCGTTGATATATGCATATATATAAACACATAGGTATACATTAAAAAATGAAGCGTGAAGCTCTCGTCGTTGATCACTCCCTTAGGGATGCGCCATGCATTCTCATCCATTAGGCATTATTGAAGGTGATTGAATGCATATCAAGCTAGCGGCTGTCTACCGATCCGTCGATTCACTGCTATTATCCTCCCAGACAAGTCTGGTACCAATTCGCTGACCTCGAAGGTATGGAAGGCCTAATGAGCTTTTGGCTCATAGAAACCTCATAGAAAGCGGTGAGTGTGCAAAGCTGTGTTCAAAGTGATTGAAATCTTGGTTTGGGGTTTCTTTGTTTGGTTATGGAGGCGTTTGGCCGAGTGAGTTGCTATCAACTTGACCTTTCCAGGCTCTGAAGAAGGCGAAATTCGCCGAAACGTCAGCTTAATCGTGAACAAAGAACAATAACACCTCGCGTTTGCTCAAAAAAAAAATACGAACAAATCACTTGATCAATGCCGAGGTTAATAGAAAGTCGGTCGTGGCACTTATGGCAAATAATCTTCCAATATCTAAGTGCAGTGCCCTGTAGGACAGGAGAGTTTTGGTTTCCAGTAAATTCCTTTTGTTAACAGCATCCTTCTGAGTATAAAAGAATCGCGCCTTTATTTCTTCGCTTTTCTCTGCAACGGCGTGAAAACACTTCTATTCATGGAAAATCTTGGTCCTTCTTCATCGTAAATAGGTTTCGATCTTAGAAGAAAACTATGAAAACGGAAAAAGCATGAATTTAAGAAGGACGTTTGGACAAAACGAATGTATAAGTGGTTACACATGGCGAGCTATCGATGCGTACGACTATGTCTGCGTAGAACCACATCGGTGAACGTTTCTCATCGCATATTGATTTTTCTATTCCTGCTGTGAAAGTGTTTTTCATTTGGAATCACTGACTTATTCAGAGCAGCCGAGGTTATGGAGGGTATTGCACCAGCTGATGAGAATGGAGCTGGTTGTGATGTCGACTATGTTCACAGAAATGCCTTTCAGGTTAGTGCTCTCACTGTACTTCATTGAAAGAAAATCGGCTAAATATCAGAGGTATGACCTAGAAGCGCTAACTCTACTTCTCACAGGGTCAACCAGGGCTCTTTTTCTCAGCGGTCGCGAAATTGCTATCGGCCTAACCTGGAACAAGCTGAATCCTTCCAATGTACACGGTAATGCTCTAGCACCTTCAGGATTCGATTCGACCATCATTCAACGGAGAAAAAAAATGGAAGCTGTGCTAGGGCCAGCACCACCAGTGACGACGGGCCATTCAAACTACAAGTATCAAGTAATTATTACTCTAAACAAGTTGCCGAGCAGATCACATCCATGCTTATTGCTGTAGTAGTTTTACAGATAGTGATTTTAAGGATCGATTTCTTGGCGTTAGGGTGTCTGAGACCATTTGCTTTTTCTTCATGTTTCTCCTTTATCCATGGAAATCATTTAGAAAAAGTTTTATTCAGGGCGATAAAGCATGTGTCAGTGAAGACGAACGTGCGCTAATCCACAAGGAGAACGCTGAATCGCATTTCTACCTTCGGAATAACGCGTTTTTTAATGGGGCTGATTCCGTCGGTCCATAGAGAGGACGATTGTGATCGATCTTTCAATTCTTTTCACGCTTTTCATTACGCCCTGAAAAAAATTATACAGGGGTCGATAAATTTGTTAAGCCATTCTTCTAGAACTGCCTTCGCTCTTCCTTAATGACATTTTCTCGCTAATTTCATTTTCATTTCTTCCTGCGAAGAGCATGATTTTTGCACTATTCCTGCATGACATAAGTGAATAAACAATTTTTCATCTGTCATTCATCATTTTTTCAATGATTCCACTTCTATTGTTTAATGGTCCTCGCTTCATTTTCAGTTTTGACTTTCTTACGCAGAAATTTGCAATGATAATCCTACACGCATAAGTGGCAACAGAGTGCTCTCGATCAAGACTCTCCATTGTAACCAATGGCGTAGTGCCTGTGATCCGGCGCAGCGTTCATATTCATTAAGGTTCGGATTCGCATGTGTGAGCAAAGATGAATGCGTGTGTTCGCTTCTGACACCTCTTATGTTAGCAGTCATTTCTGGGCTGCAGTGATTCGGATAATGTTCTGAGCTCGTTTTGAGATGCAATTAGAAGGATGTCTGGTATTTCCAGTTTTCTACTTGAATTTTGCCATTTCTTGACTGTGGACATTACTGCCTGATTCTGTTGAGTTACTCACATGAAACGGCTTCAATTCTTGCAATTCAATAAAAACTTATCTAAATTTCTCATTACTAAAGGATAAATATAGACTATAACTCCCGGCTTTGATCAATCCTTGAGGGATGCGCCATGCATTCGACTTCATTAAGCCTCGTTTGAAGGTTTGAATGCATATCTGGCCTTTACAGTGACTCGCCGTGGTCTACTGCTGTATCGAGGCAGTGCTGCTACCCTGCCAGACGTCTGGTACCAAGTCGCCGACTCCGTAGAGATGGAGGGCTTGGTGGGCTATAGGCGCGGAGATCGATGACACGTGTGTGCTGCAGGGCGCCTCCGACCACTGCACCACACTGGCCCTTATCCGCTATTAAGGTTCAGAAAACCATAAAGTTACGCCAACAACTTGAACAATTTACTCCAACTCCTATCAGTAATAAGCAGCAAAGCATTAGCATTTCCTGACGAACAATAATACAGTATGAATGTCGAAAGGGATTATCGTTGCAACGTCTATAATCGGGTAAATGGAGTTGAAGATGTTTTGGTAAGCCAGCTGTCGTTTCAATGACATTTTAGAACCACTTATGGTTTAAAGCAGAACGATTACATCGATATTACTCCCATTATTGGCGGTCCTTGAGCTTAATGTAAGGTGGCCAACCCAAAGGGATTCCGCATTATTCACTCTCTCATATATTTATACGAATATTCGAATGGAACCCATTCATAAGGAATCGTATGGATCCCAGCACAGGTTTCCAACTGATTGGTAATTTTCTAGTGGAACGAGATTCCGTTTCTCCGAACTCGTTTTATGAGCACCGTCAATAACGCTTTACTAGGTCGACTTTCATTTAGCCACTGTGGCAATAATCGATATATTCGACTGGATTGTTCAGCCTACAAGAGGTTGTTGTGTAAACTAACGTTAACGCAACGTACAACGCTGGCCCAACAAAGTTTATATAAAATCTCGTCTGAATTGCCAGCAATGTCTTATTCAATTGTGAAATTTTTTGCTAAACTTTTAAAAAGAGAGGGTTGTTTTGCTGTAGCGATAACAATATATTATATCTCGGCTGTAGCTGAATGTTAATGATGCATTCAATACGAGCACAGCCCTGGTTTGATTCCGCACCAGCCACGCTGGGTCACCAACACGAGTTTGCCCATGAACATCGATTCATTCGAAAAACTAACAACTTAAATCAGACGTGTACGGTTGGACGGATGTGAATCAACACCAGCTTTGATAATCCCATTGTCAACCTACATAATACGCAAAAAAGGGACCGAGTTCAAAATAATTTTAAGGGAAGCTAAGCAAAACAGTGTCTTTAGACACTGTATAGTAATAATAGTTCTATAACTTGAAATACAGTAGTCTCAGTGCTTCTGCTTTGTTTTCTTCGATAATACTTTCTTGGAAGTACATAACTTCCTAAAACAGGCAGTAACATTTGGTCTAAAGCACACTAGCAAAAGCATCGATTACGGAACCCAGCTAAGCTATTTAATACCAGGTTGCAACATATGAAATATCCGTTTTAATGTTAAATTTTTTTGTGATTTTTTAAGTAGACATTATAATGCATTGCACAAATCGACAGAACTAGCTGAGAGGCAGGCGAGACGAAGGCCCCGTATGGGGTGGTGGGGAGCGCGTTAGTCACCGGAAAGGGAGATAGCGCATTCCTTCCGCACCGCAGACAGTTGCAGTCCGAAGTTGCAAATATCTCACCATCATTGTGGATCATTGCAGTTATAACGGCATCGACATATCCATGGTTAGCAAACGATGTGTTACAGAACATGCAACAAATCCTCGGGTGGATGAGAGAGCCGCAAGGTGTCGAGAGGAGTGAACTGACGACCGCATATGTGGTGCTCAGGGAGGGCGAGCGAACTGAAGATAGTTACAAAATCAACCTCTTATGCGTAGGACACTCAGCAAATCGTAAATTGCTTTCCATCTCAGGTAACCTATATTAGAGAAAATCGCGAGAAACTAAACACTACTACAGAGCGCTTACTGGTGGATACTTCAATAAAAATTGCGATTGGCCCAGTGAAATTCATAATCAAAAGAGCCACTACAGAAATCCTGTTTAATCCGATCAAAGAAAGCGGAGAGGAAATTGACTGTAAAATAAAATTTAAAATTTCTTCTTTCTTGTTGCTGTTAAAATGCGCTAGAACGACTGTGTTCTTTAAGAAAAGTCACTGAGAGGACGAAAGAGGAACAAATTCCGTACGAAATGTGAAAGTGCATGACATTAGTTTACAGAGAAGAAATAAGAAAGAAAAGAAAAAACTCCTTTTCTGCTTTTGATGAATATACACCTTGGGTGTTTTACGACAGCCATTCGTTAGACGATGAAATGCTGTTAGTGAACAGTTTATCTACCAGTGATAAATAGTTTGAATAAGCCAAATCTGGACCTTGTGCACATGTTTCATTGAAAATCTTGGAGTTTAGTTTCAGAATTGTGTCATATTATGCTTAGCACTTTTCTGCGGAGTAAAGAAGCCATACCTTTTAGATGTATAATATCTCCGATCGGTTACTCCAGGGTAAATGAAAACGCTGTGCATATAACCAGAACGGTGTTGAGGTATGAGCAACGTTCAAAACTTCAGCTGTGCTTTGAATCGGCGATCACGCTTTTTTCCGGGCTTCGGAGCAAAAGAGCTAAAGCAAGGGTCTCGTTTGATGCGGTGGATAACAAATGAGCCTCCGAAAAGTGTAATCTTGGGATTTAAGCCTAAAGGTTCTAAGATTTGTTCGTATCTCTGGTTCTTTCTAACTGCTTCTTAAATAATATCTCGTAACGATCAAAAAAATGAGTGGGTTGGCTCATTAGAGGAGAGTGACTAATCACCAAAAAACCTTAAAGACAAATTTTCAAAAGAAAGACTTTATCCTTATGGCAGCGTCACTGCCATCTAAAAATTTGTATATACATGTATAAACGCATATACATATAATGTGTATATACATATATATTTATGTAGATATAGATATTAATAGCCTTTTCTGACAAGTCGTTTTTAGTAAGGAAAAAAGCTTGAGCCACAATCGGAAAATGCTGCCGAATAAGTTTTTACATAATATTTCATTAAATTATTACCGCTTTCAGAGTGCTCATTACTCACCAGTAATTACATACTTACTTATTTACTCAAATAGTCAGCTAGGCTTTATTTGATCGTGTCGTGTAGTGGACAACACGTGGACGTGTGGAAAGGGTAATCGCTAGTTCGAAACACAACTAAGGTTCCGAGTCTTCCTCATATCGCATCATCCTAGTGCTTGTATTTCACATTATATCGTGCCATGAAAAATGATTGGGTTCTGCGCATTGTTGGACAACTACAAATCACCCAATACATTTCCGAAAAATAATTTACAATAAAAGAAGCTCCACCTAAGCTGCAACATTATATATATATGTATGCTATATATATACTGCAGCATCACATATAACAACTCGCTTTGATTGTGATTCGTAAAGTTTTCTACGTAGCTGAAGCAATTATTGGATCAAGACTCTATTGCGTAACACTGAGAGGGAAATCCGTCAGCTTGTTGGGTCAGTTTGTTATTTTAGATGTTGAGACCGCCAGGTGATGAGTGGCTTCGGTGACAAGTTCGCGATCGGACGTTGCTGCTCTCCTTAAATCTGGTTTCCTTTTCATGTTGCTATCCATGCTCATTTTATCTTCATGGCAGACGTGGCGTGAACTCTTTTCTGGAATCCGATTATCAGTTTATTTAACAGTGGTAATAAGTATTAAACATCACTATTTACATGATGCCGACATTTTTCAGGACAAATCAACAAAATACTAGATAATCCTCACAAGGTTCTTTAAACTCTAACAAGTCAACGTGGTTAATGTTAGTTATACTACCCTTTGCTACAATGTGGAGAAGCTGTTAACTCTTAACCTCGCAGATTTGTCTAAACTGGTAACCACGAATATGGCGACAACATTTTCTTCTCACTTAATTACAGGAAATCTTCCCATACTGTAGCGTCTTCGATTACCTTGCCAAAACTCGATACAAGTGGTGAATGAAAATTTTTGGTTAATAATTTAGCATTCCCCGCCCACTCAGCGCTTTCCAAACAAACCGAGGAAATTCTGGTAAGAATCGTGCAAGCGAAAATGTGTAATTAGAGTGGTTTCTCTTCACTTACAATTCTTTTCCGCAGTAATATACTACATACTTTCTTGAATACTTGGACGATCCGTATTCATGAGCTGTGCGGACCACAGCACATATGCCATTCGTTCCTTTCTCTCGCAATCTTAGTCCGAGATGGTGGTCTTGTTCCAGCATGGTAGCGCTTCCGAGTCTCATACCGTGATA